ATGCGGGAAATTCAGATGCGATTTAAGCTGCGGATAAGTTGAAATATTTGAATTCCTGCAACTAGACCGTATGTGACCAGCCGACCGGATGTGATGTATTTCAGTTTTGCCCAAGCAGGTTCGTGCACGCGAGATGAAAAATAGGAGGTTTTTCGTTATTTTCGTTATAAGTCTATATATAAATATATAAAAAAACATTTTCATAAACGAGTATAAAAGATTTATATTTTTTGTTTTTATATAAAAAAAAAAATATTTTTTATGTTGTCTCCACATTGGCTCCAAAATATTTAGAGGTCTATGACTTTCTAGTATTCATTCTTTTCATTGGCTCATTAATTAATTAATTAATTAATTAATTAATTCATTCATTCATTCATTCATTCATTCAACCATGGTGAACGCACAGAGAATAAAGGCTCTTGCTTTTATACTCCTTATTTTGCACATTGCGGGAACAACTTCTTTTCCATGGTGCGCATCAAAACTGAAAATTCTGTGCGACTGCCACAAGGGGACAAATTCAAACAGTCGTGTGCAGTGGAAAGGCGACTTAAGGGTGCTTTCACACCTGTGAATTGATTCAGTTGTTCCGAAACAGGGATTAAATTTGTTACAGTGTTGCTCTTTGTTCTTGGTGCGGTTCGCTTTCACATTGCAAAGTTTCTAAACGGACCAAAAGAGCTAAAACAAGTCACGTGTGAGTAAACTCTCTTCACATTGGTCAAAGTTTCACGGTTTATTTTGCAGAGGTGGTGGTTTGGTGGTGTTTGACAGGGTGTTCGCGACGTGTCTGAAGAGCGAGGAGGGATGCGGTGGGGAGGGGTGAGAAGGCTGTGCGATGTATTTGAGGACCGGGAGGGAGACTTGGGATGTCTGTTGAATGACCTCCCGCCCTACTCATAATTCTCTCTTCATATAGCCGCATGCCTTTTACATATCCATAAAACACTGTGATATAACAGGGCTCAAATCGTATTGCTTTCTTACTACAATCGATCCAGAGTTCGTTTCACTCCGAGCCGAGACCACCTCATATAAGAAATCTCGGAGCAATTATTTTGATCCGAGCGCCATTGCTGGATTCAAATATGCCAAACGAACCGCGCTAACTGGGCAAACAAGACAGGTTCCTAAACAAAAGGCTAGGTGTGAAAGCACCTAAGACAAATTCAGAAATTCAGATTTAACAACAATTATGACCTTAAATATTTATAAATAATAAAATCTAATAGAATGTTTTAAAGATAAAAGTTATAATAATATCTATAATAATATGTGGTTATTAATAGCCTAGTGGTTGAAGCGCTGACATATGGTGCAGAGGCACTTCAGGGCGTCCCGAGTTCGAATCCCGGCTTGAGGACATTTCCCAAAACCCATTTGATTCATCTATAAAAGAGTTGACTCAGAGTGGTTCAAATGAATCGTGAGTAACAAATATTTAGCCGTGTTGACGTGATGTCGATACAAAACTCAAGCCCCACCCATTTACTGGGTCATCGAACCAATCAGCAGGTTAGCATCACGCTAAGGAGGGGTTTGGGAACAAATAAATGGCTGAGCGGATTATATGGGAGTCGTTTTCGATAATTTGGTAAAATAAATGCAGATTATAAGACAAGAAAAGTGTTTTTGACCTTCCATGCATATCAGACTGTTGTTGGAGACCCACAAAACATGACCTTTTAAATAGGGGCTCTTTAAACCAAGCTTTAAAAAAAACATGGTTTACTGCAAATGTTTCTTGAATGAGGATGTCACCTTTCACTTTAATTTATGAAAAAGAGCAGCATGGACATTCTGATATAAATAACTTCCTCCCCAGAGGAAAGGTTTAGAAAGACAGAAGTGTGAATAATTGATGACAGTGTGTATTTTTAATGACCCGCTCCTTCAAAATGCTGTAAATATTCTTTGGAAGGTTTCATGCTTTCATCAGGGCACGTGATCTGATGTGCACAGTAGCAGCAGTGGAAAAACAAACCTTCCAGTGGGATGTATGAAGGGGGAAAAAAGAGACGGGGAGGGAATGAGCAGAATGACCGAGAGAAAGGTGTTCATTTGTACAGCGAGCGGCGCTGAGACTCCACAGGGAAAGATTGCAGGAAACTGCTGAAATGACATCATCTCTCCATCTCTCAGCTGTGTGTGGGAGAGATCGGCCATATTTCATGCTCCATTAGCAGCTCTGGGATAGAGTGATGGTAGGAGTGGAATTAAAGACAGCATGTCTCAACTGAACCATCCATGCCCATGTGATGCTTGATGCTTTACTAGCGAGTCTTTGAGCATTTGTCCTGCTCTGGAAATTATATTCTTACACTTGAGGATTTCTTTCAGAATTATGTAGGCGAGCTTCACTAATGCCCTCCGATTCTTTTTACAATTTACATTTTTAGATTAGTATCATTTTAATATCTATAGTAAAAACTAGAGGTGTGATCCACTGGTCTCATGGTTCAGTTTGGTTATGATTATCATGCCATCTATTCGGTTCAATTCGATATCACGGTGCATTGACGATTCTTTCCATACACAGTTTTATTTTATATTTGAGGGGTTTCAATTTATATTTCACAAACACACACACACACACACACACACACACACACACACACACACACACACACACACACACACACACACACACACACACACACACACACATAGACAGCACCAAACAAGCGAGACACAGCATCATTCTCTCATTCACACACATAAACACACACACACACACACACACACTTGCTTGCTTGCTTGCTCGGGAGCAATATTGTTAGATTGCCCGCTCCTGTTCAAATTACACCAGAGTTACCGACCGCTCCCACGCTTTATTCGAAAGTTTATTCCCGCGCCGCAAGAAATCTGGTCGGGCCCTGTGGCTCTCACTTTACAGCCGCAGGAATGCGGAGAGGAGTGGAAAAGTCACGCCAGCAGGTCAAATGGGCCACAGTGAGAGAGAGAAAGAATGAGAGAGAGTGAAATAGAGTTTACTTTCAATCACAGTGAAACAATTATGTTCAGAAATAAGTTGAAATGAAAGAGAAATAAATAAAATAGAATAAAAATATAAAACAATCTGTGCTTTAAGCTGCTTAAAGTCCTTCAGTCAAGAGCAGTGAGGGATTTTCTCCTTTTGTTTTTTGATGAATGATAAAACAGGCGGCAGCAGGGTTATTCCGCACTGTCACTTTAATGGTTTCTATTCTCACTTTTGATTCTCAACTCATTTGTTTATTACACAAATGAGGGTTAATATGAATAATCACTAAACACCGCGTTTTAACACCTATTTGACCATTAAAGCGCTCTCGTTAAGATGACTTCAGATGTGTGCGCTCTGCTTGTTTCAGTTTGTGAATGAGGCCGAATATTGACCGCATGCTTCTGACTGTGTGTGCATGCCACACGCACAGAAGCACGCAGTCTTTCGCGCTTTTAAGAGCAACAAATGCATACAACTGGAAAGGGGCAGTATATGATGCAATAATTGTTTATCTCGATTAATGGTTTTTTATAATCGTTTGAAGCCAAACAGCGAAATCGGATTTTCGATGAATTGCGCAGCCCTAACGGTAGGCTACAAATAATATATTTGTTATAAATTAATTCATTATTCATAAAAAAAAATAATTCAGCGCTGCCTACGACGATGTTGCCATCGCCCATCATGATGTTTCATTTTAGACATCATACAATGCCAAATTGGTCGACATTGCCCAACCCTACTGGCTGCCGTTATCAGTCTCACATTATTTCTTTCCTTTTTTCTGAAAGTCTTGATAACACCATTGTCAAGTTTTTCTTTTATTATTTCCGCAAGTAATAAAATTGTTATAAATGATTTTGTTGTACTCTCTCATTCACTGTGCTCTACGTTTACCAACTATGACAACTTTCGCTATTGAGAAACCCGGAAATCCGAAAAGGATGCATTGTTGCGCTTTTGGTATTGTCAGTCTAGGCGCTCTGATAGACCGAAGTGTGTCTCCTGGCTATGCATGACTAACTTCACTTTGGCACAGACTCCCCAAACACAGTCGACTCAAACCTGTGAATCATAAAAACAATCGAACAGAAGTGACGCTTCATCCAGGTTGCTGCTGATCTCATGCGAAGCTTTTGAATAAGGGCCAGTGCTTGAGGCGGGATCTGCTCATGCCAACAACAGAACAAACCACGATCTGCATTGACTGTCTTTACATTCACATAAAGCCATGTTGAATTTATATTTAGAGGCTTTAAACAGGGTCCTGTGATTTGCATGCAGACGGAATCTCCGAATTGAGTGCTAAAATGGAATTCATTTCGTAAAGGTGAATTATAGTCATGGAATTTAGCAAATTATGGATGATGCTAGTTGTGTTTTTACAATCTGTTGTCTTGCTTTGTGGTAACATTAACTCCAGAGCACTTCATGAGCATTTTAAAGCTCCCATGAAATTAAAATAAAGCTTTTTACATTTTAATATCAGTATTGTTAGTTTTTAGGATGTCTATAAGCTAGTGTGCTCTGAAATAGTGACACAATTTGCGTTTAGAAGAAATAAACCTGATATAAGCATGTAACGCTAGATTGTATCTTTCACCTAAATTAATCTACAGTTTTATTCACGTCACCTCCTACTTCTGTTTTTTTACAAATCTTGACCAATCAATAGCTTTAATATCTGACATGCCCCGCCCCCTTCAAGACGCTTCACACTTGATGTGCTTGAGATCATCCACTCTCACTGGCAGTGCAGTGATAGAACAAAAAGCTATTGGCTGTTTTATAAAAAAAAAAGGGGGAGGAGCTACACTATGTCCAACCCTCTCTTCGGTTAAGATTACATCAAGCATTGAATAAAAATGCTAATTTCAAAGCACTTCACAGGCTCTTTAAAGATCTTCTTGACAACCTTTCGAAATAAATGTTTGGTTTAGTTTGAGCTATGTGTGACAGAAATCTATTTTTCTATCATGTCTAAATAGTTTTCTGTTTTTTCACTTTTCAGGATTTCGCAGGAATGAAGAAATGAAGGCGATGGAGGTGTTGCCCATTTTAAAAGAAAAAGTGGCCTTCTTATCAGGTGTGTTTATTGGTAGAACCTCATGTTTTTATTCAGAAATGTCTTTTTATATGGTCTAGTGCAGTGGTTCTCAAACTGTGGTACGCAGGCTTCCTTCTAGTGGTATGTGGTGGAATCACTAAATAATTAAAGTAAAGAAATTAATACACTTTTAACCCTGTATTGTGTACGATGACACCAATGTGATCAGTAAATTGATTTTATTAGGCTTAACCTTTTATTTTATTTTCAATTTTCTAATGTATGTTATGTATTATATCATTTGAAGCTGATTTCCTCCTCATATTTGTAATGGTTGTTGGAGGTGTATCCTGTATTTTTGCTACCCAATGTTGACCGGTTATTATGGTGGTACTTGGAGAAACAGGTTTTTTTCGGAGGTGGTACTTGGTGAAAAAAGTTTGGGAACCACTGGTCTAGTGCTTGTGACATGTTTTCAAAAGAAAAAACTGCACAAATTGCACAAAAATAAGTGTATTTTTTTATAGTAGCTTAATAAAAATGACTAGTTTAAGGTAAACAGAATATTCCAACAGAACAGTATGGAAGCTGCTTTTTTATCTCAGATTAAACAAGATAATCGTGAGAAGTGTTAAGTAATAAATATAGATACAACGAGGCATATGTCTATATATATATATATATATATATATATATATATATATATATATATATATATATATTTGTTTTATTTTGGCTAGAATAAAAGCAGTTTTTAATTTGTTTAAAAACATTTTAATGTCAATATTATTTGCCCTCTTAAGCTATATATTTTTTCGATTGTCTACAGAACAAACCATCATTATACAGTGACTTGCCTAATTACCCCAACTTACGTTATTAACCTAGCTGAGCCTTTAAATGCCACCAAGCTGAAAACTAGTATCTTGAAAAATATCTAGTAAAATATTATCACCATGGTAAAGATAAAGGAAACCAGGTATTAAATATAAGTTATTAAAACTCATGTTTAAGAATGTGCTAAATATTTTTGTTAAACAGAAACTGGGGAAAAATATACAGGGGAGGCTAATAATTCAGAAGGGCTAATGCCTCATTCACATGGGGCTTAGGCGTCAACGCTTGAAAGCTGATTTATACTTTTGCGCAGCCTTCGCATGGATGCATAGCCCTCGCTGTTTCCGTCACCAACGTGCATCTCTTAAAAAACAGAACCACGTCGCATCGACGTGTAGTGCAAGCTCTGTGATTGGCCGGCTTGGTACCTTTGGCGAGTGTGGGCAGGACCGAGAGCTGAACGAGTGTTTACAAGTGTCGAGTTCTGTGAAGGAGCTCAAGGTGAAACTGTTTTCTTTTGTTTACCTTATGATTAAAGTTGTTGCATGTTGGCCGGTTTCCACCTCAAAGTGAGCAAGTTTGAGCTACTTCTACAATAAGGTAGTGTTCAGAAAAAACAAAACACCAGTGAAGAAATACAACACGGTGGGTTATGCCGATCACTCGACACTGAAGTATAAACCAGGCTTGACGGAGGGCGTGATCGTCATAGCAGCATCAGCTAATTAAATTAGTTAGCAATCTGCTACTGTCTGAGCTAAGGGTATTTGCATAAATCAATATGATTGGCTGACACTTTCGTTGGTGCTTGAAAATGTAGCAAAATTCCCAACTTTTGTAGCAAACAACACTGCTGAAGCAGCACAGACGATTGCAGAATTCAGTTTGGCAATCCTTGAGGTCACCCATTCAAATTGAATGGGAAGTGTTGACGCTGACACCTTGTGTGAATGGGACGTAATAATGCTGACTTTAATTGCACAAAAAAAAAACCTACAAGAAAATGATTTAGAGAATAACCTATTTTAGTTCATTTGAAGGTCCCGTGAAATTAAAATAAAGGTTTTTATTTATTTATTATTTTTTGAGATGTTACTGTCAATATGTTGGTATTAAGGATATCTATAAGCTAATTTGCTCAAAAGCAGCAACGCAATTGGCATTTAGAAGATTTAGAAGACCTGATATAAACATTCAAAGCTTGCTATTTGTGTACTTCTGCCTAAATGTTTTTTTAAACTATCACAATGTTTTCAAATCTTTTGACCAATCAAATGCTGTCTGATATCTAACATGCCCCGCCTCCTTCCTCTTATTGGCTTTCCATTTCATGCACTTGAGCTCAACCACTTTTACTGGCAGAGCTGGGATAAAAATGAAATGCTATTGACTGTTTTATTAATAAAGGGGAGGAGCTACCATATGTCCAGCTTTGTCTTAATGCTTCAGTTGAGATTACATCAAGAAATGCATTTCAAAGCACTTTGGACTTTATTATTTTTATTTGTTTTTTAATATAAATAATTTTAGTGCTTCATTTAGTAGCTAGAAAAAAAGTATTCCTTACTCTTGATTCGCAATGAGCCAAAATAGCTTTTACAGGATATTTCCGTAACACAGGGTATTTTAAGTTGGTGTGTCACCATCACAGTCCTGACTGTGGCCATAGACTGAAAAAAAAGTGTCGTCCTCACTCATCCACTGAACTTCTGTTTGGCTCTTTTACTTGTACCACTGACAGACGAGCTCTGAAATGACTCAGAAACAAAGGCTGTGTCTTCATACGGATGAGTAGCCATCATACACGCATGTCCTATAATACATCAGTCAACCTGAACAGTTGGTCAAAAATTGGTTGCAAAAAACTCAATTGGTTGAAATCTAATCTAAATTCCTGATCTAAAAGTTAGCTTTATACAGTTTATTCCTCAGCATGCTTGCAAACTGAAGAATTTCAGAGGCACTTATTTGAAGTGTTTGATCACTTGAGAAGTGAACAAAAGCTGAGTCATTCACACCACTTTACAGAGACGCTACCTTATGATAAGTCATGTAACAGTCTCATCTGGAATCATCTCTGCATTGAATTCATCATTCAGCTTGCACTTAAAGCACTGCACTGAAGAACATTGACTTGATTTAATGGTAATGAGAATATTGCGGTAATGATTGACCTCATAATAATGTCAACAAGTAGATTATGAATTTTTTTGCAATGCATAGCATCTATATATCGTCCTTAGACTAATATTTAGGCTAAAAGTGAGGCTGTGTTGAGCATATTGAACGGACTGCCCTTCCTGCCCTTTTAGACCAGTTTTTGTTGAGGCCATATGTTGTTTGTGCATGGCATCTGCTCTGACATAGTTTAATAAAGAAATTACATACTAAAAGCTTTATAAAATACACATTGATCCCAGCTTATTTGTAATAGAACTTTTCACAGTAATTATAAATAATTCAAAGTATCTTTAATCACTTTTGTGTATGATATAAGGAAACAAGAATTATTTTTAAAAAGCTGAACCTATTTTGTTATAAAATATGTAACTTCTAGATGCCTTATTTGGTTTCATCCCAAAACTATCAGTTTAGTGCATCCCAACTATTTGGGTTCTTCCACTTTCTGATTGGTCGGCCAGTGACAACAGACTGTGTGTCATCTGACCAATCGGAGTCAACGGATCTTTAAACGAACCATTGAAGACGATGAGAAAAATAGAGGTTGTGAAGAGGTATTATAAAAATAAATAAATAAATGAAAATGATTTTGTTTTTATTTATTGTTATTGTGCTAACACAGATTAACACAGAAATACCTTTTTTTTTTTTAACTATTAACTAGTTGCTTATTACCTGCCTTTTATTAGAATATAAACTTATTACATGGCTCTCTTGAAAACTCTTTTCTGATTGGTCAGTTGCAACTTTTTAAGGTATGTTATTCCGAGATAAGAACCGCCGAATAACACAAGACTCATTCTGGAACTTCGAATCACATTAACCATCGATTAAATTAATTTACTTGCATTCACATTCATATGTATCAGCTTGTCTGTCACCCAAGTTTATTTATTTATTTATTTATTTATTTATTTTTAACTGTTTTTGAGTCTTTGGGACCATCTTGTAATTGAGTAGGCTAATAAGTTTTCGTAATACGAAATTTGTTTCAGTCAGCTTTGCGTTTTTTACTGTTTATCGCTATCTTGTGACTGAATAATGTGCAGGTTAGTTTTTTTTTTTTTTTGGTCAGCTTTGTGTTTAATTAAAGAACTAAACATTGAACAATGTTTTGTGTAATTTGTATGTTTTGTGGCAAGCTGCCTGTTAAGCGGGATAAACTACATCCAGGATCGGTTGTTTTCTCAGTCTTTCAGTCTTGTATGTCAGTCAGGGTTCATATGGAAGTCAGGGTTCACATGAAAAACCTTTAAAAGTCATGAAATTTTGACATGGCATTTTCCAGGCCTGGAAAAGTTTTGGAAAACTGAAAAACCCACAAAGTTTTGGGAAAAGTCATGGAAATTAGTTTGACAAATATCTGTATACTTTGACATGGGGTAGTTGTCGTTAGTTATTTTCTGTCCATGGCCAAATTCATGCTCTCACATTATTAGTGTTGCGTAAGCATTATCTAAATACATTTTACGTAAATATAAAGATTAATTTAAACTAAATAGATTGTTGTGTCAGGTTTTTGCCCCATGTTATTTTTTTTTCCTTATGTTTTTTCCTTACCACTAGATGTCCTGATTTCATTCTTTTTTTTTTTTTTTTTGTAATCACCGTTATTGATTTCACATGTGCCTTGTTTAGTTGTTTGTATTTAAGTAGCCTCAGTTCAGTAGTTCTTTGCTTGGTTATTGCGGACCGTAGCCTGTCGCCCTCTGTGAGTTCTTACATTTGAAAGATAATCTCTTTTGCCAAGTTTTTCTGACCTATGTTTTTTGGTTTATTTTTGAGCAGTTACTGATCCTGAGTTTTTTTTTGCCCTATTTTGTGCCATCAATAAATTCCTCCTAAGAAGAAAGTTCCTTTTTGTGGTTTGGGTTCTTCAACGCCTATTTGGCTCAGTGGGTTTGAGATCAACATCTCATGCCGGAGACCCAGGTTCTAACCCAGACTCTGACACATTGCTCGTTTCATGATATGCTGTAATAACTTTGAAAATGCATTGTTTTTCTTGTTGTTAAGTATGTATACGTAGACATTACATGCAACATTAGGTCATGAAAATTGACTTGAAAGTCCTGGAAAAGTATTGAAATTATAGTAGTAAAAATTGTGTATGAGCCCTGGACAGTGCTTTGCTTCACTTTGGGCTGCCCGATAAACCTGTCAGGCTTTATTCTGCTTTATAACAGCCTCCTGGGTATACCCAAAGACTATTGACCTTATTGACCTTATTTTTCAATGCGGAAGTGTGCTCGTTTTTGCGATTGTTTTAGAACTTCCCATTCAGCTCTCTATGCGAGAAATAACTAGAAATCATACACTGCAGCAAACGGTCAAATTACTCGCTCTACAAACAAGTGTCTGCATGATTATACAAACAAAGCAGAATCATATAATAAGAAAATGTCAGTTTGCAACATTCAGCAGCATGAAAGTGAATGGAAGTGAATGAGACCGGAAGTCTGAAGCTAAAAACTTTTAAATGGCTGCGACCGCTTGAACGAAAAGAATAAGGTGAATAGAATACACAAGATGTGTCACTTGCTTGGTTTTAAATAGGGAAAAGTGTACAGTCAATATGGCGAATGAAGCCCCGCCTTCTAGTTAAGGAGCCAATCGAAATAGAATGGCGATTCTACGGAGGAGAGGCTTGGACCAGACATGAGTCTTCAGATTTTGTGTGAATCAAATGTTTAGAAATGAAACTAAAGAGACAGTCGTTGACTAATTTTATTGGTGATTCCCGATATAAAATTTAATTTAACACTTGAGAAACAGTTTTAGAGAATTTGGTGTTCCCCTATTCAAACAGAATGCCCAAAAATACTGCCCGAGAGGTGTTTTAAAAAGGGCTGCTGTGTGAAATGACTTGCCTTTAAGGAAGTTTGATATACTTTATCCCTTACTTAAAAAGTATATATTCTGCATGATCTTATTCTACATTCTAATAAATAAACCCAACTACTATCCTTATAACTAATAATAAACAGTAAAATGGGAGTTTATTGAGCTAAAAGTCTGATGGTCTGTTAATAGTGAATTGTACTTTAAAATAAAGTGTTATTGTTTCTAGTCGCCTTCATGATTCTAATCATTGCTGTTTTCTTTCTCCAGGGGGCAGAGACAAGCGTGGCGGTCCAGTTTTAACATTCCCATCACGAACCAACCATGACCGAATACGACACGAGGATCTCCGCAGACTCATCGCCTACCTCGCCGGCATCCCAAGGTATTGACTCTTTCACTGTGCTTGAAAAACATCCCAGGATGCACCTGCTGCGCTTTTATTGGCCGCTTTTCCCTCCATCACTATCTTTTCCAACTCTGAAGTTAAATAAAAGAACAGAGGTAACTGGATTGTGTGTGGAGGATTGTGCCAGTTTTCCTGCTGGGATGTTTTGTGTTGGCGCATTGATCTGTAATTCACCTGTGAACTAGCGGATGCTGTGTCTCTTCATATGCCATCTTCTGTTGGTGCCGATAAAACCATACGAGGCAGGCCAAGTCCACATTTCAGTTCAGGTCCTCTAAACGGCTCTGCTAAGCAGCTGTTCTCTGTAAACATGTTTGCTTTTAGCGTCCATTAGTTGAAGCATGAAGGTCGTAACTCTGGTAATAGCGCAGTTTCAGAGAGCACAATGTGACCTTCCTCTGTGTGTTTCTACAACTTATACACACTTTTAAAAGGTTGATTTTCTTTTATAACATTTTATAGATACAATTTTTTTTCTTGCGTAAAGGTCACATTAAAGCTTTTTATCTTGCCCTATTCTGTCAGTTGTATATTTTTACCTGTCCCAGACACATACTTTTACATACAAATGATAATGAAAGTATTATATATGTGTATGTATGTATGTATGTATATATGTGTATATACCGTAAAGCAATTAATTGTAAGGGATTCATTGAAAAAGTGTGTAAACTTATAGCCTTGAAATTGAATTGAACTGTATTATTAAAATGAAATGTGCATAATTATAAGTCTGTTGAAGCCGAAAATAAAATAAATGAATTAATAATTATATATATATATATATATATATATATATATATATATATATATATATATATATATATATAAATATATATTATAGGTGGGCATAGATTTATTTATTTTTTATTTAGATTAATCAAGATTAAAATGGTTTATTTGAATTCTTCTGAAGGCATTTAGAACATGGGGCTACCCTAATAATAAGTCTTTGAATACAGGTTTTTCAAGCCAGGTGGCGCATTAGACCAGGGGCACATCTCCTGTTTCCAAAATGCATCACAAACTGCTTGAGAAACTGTTCTACTATGATAATTGGTGATGAAAATAAATGATGTTCAATAAGATGTACTTGTGTTTACTAACTGTTTACTCAGTTAAAGATTAATTTTGCACTGTAGCTCGAAACAGTGATTTTTGATGATCCGACTGAAGTCATAACTGAACCAAACAGAAATAGAATTAAGATGTGAAGTATGCAGATATTAGTGACATAATTGTAGTACTCACACATACAGTTTGTGTATTAGACACAAACACACACACATGCATCGCTAAATGTGGAAGTTTTTTTCTTTCCACTTGGCGTGCGTTATTAAATTCAAATACACTCTCACCAGTCCTTACTTCCTATTTGTGTTTAATACACCAGTTTGTCACGGGGGATGAATGAATTGTTCATGAATTAAAGTGAAACTGCTGAACTGCAAGTAGAGTCGAGGAACCAGCTGATTTGATTCAGAAAAATCACCTTTTTTTTGTCAGACGGCTCACAGGTCAGGTATACATCCACGCTAAAATATCAAGGTAAAAATCATCATCGCTTGCGTAGAACAGACCCAGCTCCCAAACCCACTTTGATAATAGATTATCGGCGATATATTTTTTTAATCGCACAATAAAGTAGATAACTTCCCACCAATAATATATATATACACATGTATATATACAGTGGAATGAACCGCCAACTTATCCAGAATAGGTTTTTATGCTGCGGATGCCCTTCCAGCTGCTACCTATCACTGGGAAACATCTATACACACTCATTCACACACATACACTACAGACAATTTAGCCTACCCAATTCTTTTGTACCGCATGTCTTGGGATTGTGGGGGAAACCAGAGCACCCGAAGGAAACCCACGCCAACATGAGGAGAATGCAAATCCTACACAGAGATACCAACTGACCCAGTCGAGGCTCGAACCAGTGACCTTCTTGCTGTGAGCTTAACGTGCTACCCACTATGCCACCGTGCAGCCCATATATACATACATGTGTGTTCATGTATATGTGAATAAATGTATATGTATACACACACACACACACACACACTGCAATGAGTGGCTGTGAGGGAGGGAAAGAGAAACGGAGATGTGGATCTCAGAAAAAGGCAGTAGGGCGCGATGGGAAGAGTGGTTGGTGGGAAAGGCAGCGTGGGCACGATGGAGAACCTGCCGCAGTTCAGCCCCTGCCAACCACTCTTCCTCCTCCTCATCATCATCCTCACACTCAAACTCTGTCCCCTGCACCCACACACAGACAAACCACCACAGAAGAAGAGCTACAGAGCAAATCCCAAGAGAGAGAGAGAGAGAGAGTACTTATACTGTATAGGGTCTTTAATTCCTTTCAGAAGGTTTAATACCACTTTTATTACAAAATGAACAGTTATTTGCTCTGTGATGAACTATTCATCAAAATAAATGAATTGAAATAAAGTTAAAATAAATAAAATAATAAAGTGTAAATAAATACAATAAAAAATATTGCTTGTTTATTTAAATTATGAAATTGTGTCGCTATTCTTTTATATGTGCGCACATGTATTTTGTTGTATATATATTTCTTTTCTATATATGTCTCTTAGAATTTTAAGTCATCAACACCCCTGATTTTAATAATGTTAAAAAAAATTAGGAACATTTTTGACATGACTTTTCTCCAACCATGCTTTTTTCCTGCTGATGTAATTGACTAAATGTAAATGCAAAGATACAGATGGAGAGATACAGAGAGAAACACAGAGAGAGAGAGAGAGAGAGAGAGAGATACAGATGGAGAGATACACAGAGAGACCGAGAGATGGAGAGAGAGAGAGAAGGGGTGCATCTTTAGAGATGGAGAGCATGCATGTGTGTTGGGAGGGCGAGCGAGCTAGCAAGAGCGGGAGGGAGGGAGAAAAAGAGAGAGTGTGTGAATCCGTGTCGCAGTTGCACAAGGCTGTGTGTGTGTGTGTTGGTCTCTAGCTCTCATCAGCAGCAGCTCCTCCGTTAGACTTTCTCCAGTCGAATCCCTCAGCCAGATGTTTGATTGACAGCTGCACGAGACGCGCTCTGGATTTAGGATTATGGTCTGTTTACGTTTTGAGGACTGATTGAAACCTCACAGTATTGGATATTAAAGGCCATCATCTGTCTGAAAGCAGGTTGCGTGCTCATTTTGCTAGATATTTTTTGCAGATAGTCTTCATGGGTAAGCTTTGCGAATATATCTCTGCTTTTTCAGTTGTGTGCGCATTGATCGTTTTGATTGGTCAGTTGATTTTTTTTCTCCTGTTGTTTATTTATAGTTCCTGCAGTTGCAGTTGCGTTTGTTTTTCAGCTAAGGTTGCAGTTTATGCAATGTGTTGCAGATTAAACTCATATTATTTTTTTTTCCTCCCTCATCTAGCGAGGATGTCTGCAAACATGGCTTCACGGTCATCGTGGACATGCGTGGCTCCAAATGGGATTCCATCAAGCCTCTGCTGAAGATCCTCCAGGAGTCGTTCCCCTGCTGCATCCACATCGCCCTCATCATCAAACCAGACAACTTCTGGCAGAAACAGAGGACCAATTTCGGCAGCTCCAAGTTTGAGTTTGAGGTACGCAACCGTTGGTGGTTTTCAATGATGGAGAGCGTAGCTTGCTTTTGTGGTTGTTTTAGGAGGCGCGGCTGGATGTTGATGCTTTACCACCGTGTCCTAACAACACGCAATTATGGCTGTCTGCACAAAAAGTGACGAAAACATTTGAATATCAGCCACTGCACTCATAACGGAATGATACAGGTTTTTAATCGAATTAATACTTATTAAAGCTCTTTAACAATATTAATAGACTACTGAGTGACTTTCCTTTTCAAACCGTCTGCTAGTTATTTTTATTTAAAGATCTGAGGTGAACTCTCTGCTGCTGCTTTCAGTAGTATGGTAATATATGTGATGTAAAATAGTATCTAAACTTACATTGGCAGCATTTAACACTGAATAAAGCACATAATCAGTACATAAGGTGATCATTGTCATAGTAGTATAGCGTAGTAGTAGTGGCGTGGAAATAGAAAGCGTTTCTAAAATAGACATTTCGACGCATCGTCGACCCAGATGGTTAAGACAAAAAACTCGCTAGTAAATGAACATTTACATCTCAGAAAATTGGCTTCTTTTGTAATGTTTTCAGCACTGGATGCTATAGTTGGTGCCCTTCAGTTGGTGTTTATTAAAGTTTTTTTTTTTACTGTGATGATGACTTTCAATGTAGAGCGTAGCTTGCTTGTAGGGTTGTTTTGGGTGGCGCGGCTGGATGTTGATGCTTTACCACCGTGTCCTAACAACACGCAATTATGGCTGTCTGCGCCAAAAGCGCAGCAAAACATTTAAATATCAGCCACTGCACTCATAACGGAATGATACAGGTTTTTATTCGAATTAATACAAATTAAAGCTCATTAACAATATTAATAGGCTACTGAGTGACTTTCCTTTTCAAACCGTCTGCTAGTTATTTTTATTTAAAGATCTGAGGTGAACTATCTGCTGCTGCTTTCAGTAGTATGGTAATATATGTGACGTAAAATAGTATCTAAACTTACATTGGCAGCATTTAACACTGAATAAAGCACATAATCAGTACATAAGGTGATCATTGTCATAGTAGTATAGCGTAGTAGTAGTGGCGCGGAAATAGAAAGCGTTTCTAAAATAGAAATTTCGACGCATCGTCGACCCAGATGGTTAAAACAAAAACTCGCTAGTAAATGAACATTTACATCTCAGAAAATTGGCTTCTTTTGTAATGTTTTCAGCACTGGATGCTATAGTTGGTGCCCTTCAGTTGGTGTTTATTAACGGGTTTTTTTTTTTACTGTGATGATGACTTTTAATGGAGAGCGTAGCTTGCTTGTAGGGTTGTTTTGGGTGGCGCGGCTGGATGTTGACGCTTTACCACCGTGTCCTAACAACACGCAATTATGGCTGTCTGCGCCAAAAGCGCAGCAAAACATTTAAATATCAGCCACTGCACTCATAACGAAATGATACAGGTTTTTATTCGAATTAATACAAATTAAAGCTCTTTAACAATATTAATAGACTACTGAGTGACTTTCATTTTCAAACCGTCTGCTAGTTATTTTTATTTAAAGATCTGAGGTGAACTATTTGCTGCTGCTTTCAGTAGTATGGTAATATATGTGACGTAAAATAGTATCTAAACTTACATTGGCAGCATTTAACACTGAATAAAGCACATAATCAGTACATAAGGCGATCATTGTCATAGTAGTATAGCGTAGTAGTAGTGGCGTGGAATTGGAAAACATTTCTAAATTGGAAATTTTAGATGGTTGTAACAAAAAAACTCGCTAGTAAATGAACATGTACATCTCAAGAAATGGGCTTCTTTTATAATGTTTTAGCATTGGATGCTAAAGTTGGTGCCATATACTTGTTATTGCACTATTGAAAGCTTTATAAAGTAAAAACTGCCAATTAACATGTTTGCATACAACTCTTTTTTTTTTTTTTTTTTTTTTTTTACTTTTTACAATTAATTTACCGAGTATGCTTTTGTTGCTATTAGTTTTATTATATAAAGATCTGATCATTTCATTTAGATATTTATTTATTTGTTTTCCAAAAATTATGCATGGTCAAAATAACAAATATCAACGTTATTTAACCAAATATTGACTTTCATATCCAAATTTTGATACCGTCAAACCTCCTCCCTATTTTACCTCGGTATCCGGTATTACCGGTATCTGGCATAATAAAAAGAATTATGACGTAAGGCTCAGATAAACTGTTGGCTTGTGCCTAAACCATTCAGAAACTGAATACTGTATATGCGACCTTAGGTTTGCGGTTCCTGTTTGTCTTGTTTGTATTAGAGATCTGCGCAGGACGCACTCTCTCATTTACACACGTGCACACACACACACACACACACACACACACACAGAGACAGCGACTTACAGCACGACGCTCTCCCTCTCTCATTCACACACACGCAAACACACACACAAATACAAATAGAGAGAGCCCCAAGCGACACACAGAAATACGCTCTCTCTCATTCACACACACACACACACACACACACACACACACAAACAGCATCCACGTGAATGCATGCGTGCTCGCTCGCTTGGGAGCGATATTGTTAGACCGCGCGCCCGCTACTTTTCAAATTACACCAGAGTTACTGACAGCTCCCACACTTTATTCGAAAATTTATTCCCGCACCACAAGAAATCTGGTCGGCAGTGGGAATGCAGGCCTCTAGTTCATATTTACCACGTCTCCCCTCTCGTTCGGTCGAAACCAGAGATACTGCCAATGCCAAACTGCAGGTCACTTGGTGCGCGACTTGCCATCTCACCTATCTCTCTCCCTCTCTCTCTCTCTCTCTCTCTCTCTCTCTCTCTCTCTCTCTCTCTCTCTCTCTCTCTCTCTCTCTCTCTCCCTCCCTCCCCTCCACACTGTCCCGCAATCACGCATGCGTATTTGTAGGCATTAAATAAATAATATTTATTATTTAATACTTGTCTCCAATTTAAATGCATGTTTTTTTGACTGTATAAACGGTATTAAAACTGACTCCGTTGCAATATTTAGATCAGCGGTAGACCATATTACCGTATTATCGCCCAAGCCTAATGTGCTGTGTATCTTTTTTTTGTTTGTTTTGACCAATGGACTGTATGCACAGCTAGTGTTTTCAGCCAATGATAAACCTCCAGTGAAAGCTTAATGTGACTTTTTCAGGTTTCTTTCACAGCATGGATGTTGTAATGTAATTACAATACATTTACTTAAATAGACTTAAACATTCATTTAGTTGTTCATGTGTAAAATGAGATGAAATACAGTGTAACCGTTAGTATCAGTAGGCGAGCACAGAAACTCCATTAAAAGTTCTGGGGTAAAATAAACCGTCATATTTTAAAGACATGGCAAGGGGAAATTGAATTTAACGCAGTGCTTCTTTTCCGGTATGAGTTTCATTTTATTTAGTATATCTATCACGCAGTGACGATCACAGATTTGCAAAGAAATCAGACCTTAAACAGAGCAATTTTATAACGCAAAGACAGTTCATTGAAAGCGCTGAGGCTAGCTGGCTGAAATTAAAAGTCAGATGCATATACCCCATTGTCATTTTATGCAAAAATTAAAACATTTATTCTTGTTTTTTTATTTTATTTGGAAGAAATTTCATTATAAATTTGACTAAATAAAACAAAAATGGTTTTACTCAAACATCGAAACTGCATTTGAGAATCACAAGAACTTTATAGCAATCTCTCAAATTTATTTATAGCTGCAAATACAAATAAATAGCCATTTAATATTTTGGTATCTGTATCAAGTTGCTCATTACAGTATAGTACATATAGTACGCCCCCCTATATGTTTACATCATTAGCTGAGATGGAAATTATAGTATTAATTGAATGGATTTATTGACAGAGCTACAGTTTGCTTAGTCAACTGTATATAAATGCGTATTTTAGTTTAGCTTCTCCCTCATATATACCATATCTTGATCTTTTATTTTTGTACACCATTACACGTTTTGTAAAACAGCAGATTATTCCTCTGAAATGTCCAGTAAAATGGCCTCGCCGCTGCATTTTCTTTTTCATCTTAATAATTAATCATCTGCGGGTTTGTCTGTGACATGCGATCTGTGTTGGTGTGAGCGAGTGAAGAGTGGCTCGAGTGGGAGTGTGTGGGTGTTGATGTTCTGTGTCTCGTGTGTGTGTGTGTGTGTGTGTGGGTCGACAGGATGAATGTAAATGTGGATGCAGCAGAAATGCTTTTCTGGCATGTTTTTCTGCAGTTGTTTTATACTGAAGCGGCTCGATTGCAAGGTGTTGGTGCAACTTTGTTTTCGGTCGCAGATCTGTCAGAGTGGAAAGCTTGTGTTTGTTTTTATAGGAGGAAAACCTTTTGTGTGTGTGTGTGTGTGTGTGTGTGTGTGTGTGCGTGCGTGTGTGTGTGTGCGTGTGTGTGCGTGTGTGTGCGTGCGTGCGTGCGCGTGCGTGTGTGTGTGTGTGTGTGTGTGTGTACGCTTGTGTTCGGTTTAACGACACATGTGGAACAAAAAGTGATGGCTCATGTCACAGCAGCAGAAACTTCCAGTGTGATCAAATTGAACGATGTTTTCGATTATATTATAATTAGTACCTGAGTTCTCTATGAATAAATCATGATTACACTGGTATCTGATGAAGACAGATAGGAAGCTGGCAACATCGTTATTGTCAATAAAGAAAATAAATCTTGTTCTGCTCTGAGCTTCACGTCACGTCCTTGGACGTAGAAATCGTTGGTTTCCGTGGCAACCCTGCATAACACCTAGAAGATCAATGTGCGGTGCTGTGAAGTGAATGACAGTGAATTATTCACTACATCAAGTCTGCTCTATACCAAATAGTGAAGGAAGAATAAGGGCAACAGGTAACGGTGCTTGTAGCAGAATATCAATATACTGTATATAGGTGTTCAAACAGCTAGCTTTAATGAAGAGAGCTGACGTCGCTTATCAGGTAGTTTTTATATGATGCCACAACAGATAGTGATTTGTTGTTGATAAA